TTGGATTAATGATTAGGTGTTTATTTGTATTAATTAGTAACTGTTCGTGTTTCAGAAGCCAGCAGGCACTCAAAGACCTTTGCTAAGCTCTGCATTAATCACTGTGACTCTTTAGTGCAGAAAAGGGGAGATGAGGAGCAGGAAATATGCACATGAGCTCACTCCTGCCTTTATTTGTCATTGAGCCCAGCTCCCAGATTCCCATCACTGCTGCCTTACACCCAAAAAGGGATTTTGGATACTGAAAATTGTCTTAAATGGGAACAAATTTGTGCCCAACCTCAGCTTGGACTGGGCTCTTTCTCCCATTTGCAGCAGGAGGGGAGGGGGTCACTGTCCCCCGAGTTTCCAAAATGTGCTCCTGGAATGAGGACCAGGTGAGCTGGGAAATGTCCAGCACAGCCTCCTTTGAGTTGCTTTCCCAGGGGCCAGGATGAGGAGGGGACAGCTTTGTCACCTGGAATGCTCTGGGTCCCTTTGGGTTTGTTCTTTCCATCACTGCTCCAGATCTCAGCTCAGTTCTGTGCCAGGAATGGAGCTGTGACCCCTCTGGGATGTGACAGGAGCAGCTTTGCTCAGTTCTGTGCCAGGAATGGAGCTGTGACCCCTCTGGGATGTGACAGGAGCAGCTTTGCTCAGTTCTGTGCCAGGAATGGAGCTGTGACCCCCCTGGGATGTGACAGGAGCAGCTTTGCTCAGTTCTGTGCCAGGAATGGAGCTGTGACCCCTCTGGGATGTGACAGGAGCAGCTTTGCTCAGTTCAGAGCTGCAGCCCCAGCCGTGCCCAGCTGTGCCCAGAGCTCTGGCCCAGGGAATTCCCGTGTTTGAGGAGCAGGCTGGGCACTCGGGGATGGGCAGGGAGTCACCAGGGCCACCTGGGCATGCAGAGCCTGGGGCTGGTGAGGGTGACCCCATTGCTGTCACATCCCTTACCTGTGCCAGCCTGGAGGGACAGGACAGGGAATGGCTGAAAACTGCCAGAGGGCAGGGCTGGATGGGATTTTGGGAAGGGATTTTTCCCTGGCACAGGAGAGGGATCCAGGGAGAGCTCAGAGCCCCTGGCAGGACCTAAAGGGGCTCCAGGAGAGCTGGAGAGGGACTGGGGACAGGGATGGGGGGACAGGACACAGGGAATGGCTCCCAGTGCCAGAGGGCAGGGCTGGATACTGCAATAATATCAATTCTATTGCAGGGGTGGGAGGGGATGATTTTTAAGGTCCCTCCCTTCCAACCCAAACCATCCTGGAATTCTACCACAAAGGAACAGGCACCACCACTCCATTCCTGGATTCTGGCACCATAATTCCTGCACTGTGAGAATCCTACCCCTGGAAAGCACCCGGGGAAAAGTTTGTCAGGTTGAGTTTCAAACCTTTGTTTTGTTTTGTTTTTCTTTTATAAGCAGTGTATTTTGGCTTGCCTGGCAAATAATGAGAACTGTATTCACAAATAGTAAAAAAAAAAAAAAAAAAAAAATATCCACACAGTCTTTCCTCATTTTAAAAGCACAGGGCTCTTATGCCTGAGGTCTAAATTTAAAAACTGCAGCATAATAATGTGCAAATATCAGCTATCTCTGAGATAGAACTAATTGTTTATTTTTTGGTTAAGTCTCAATTCATAGAACAAACACAACTCAAAACCAGCAATTAGAAATGAATATTCCCTTTCCTTCTGATTGATGTGGGAGCTGGGATTAGAGGTCATGCAATTATCTCCCTCATGCTTATCAGGTAGAAGGAGTTTCTGTTTATTGAACTTTCTCTTTCTGTCTTGGTTCTGTGTTTCCCATCAGACTTTGGAAGTTTATTTGGTCTCTTCACTCTTCCTCTGTGATGAAGAGACAACGAGAGACAGAAAACCAGCGAGGAAAGGAAATGACTGGCAAACCATTAAAGGTCGTTCTACAATTTCATAATTTCATTTCCTCATTGAAGTTTACCTGGGACTCCCAAGTATTTTTTTTTTTCAGTCTGTAGATGTGGCCCAATGTAAAATAGGAACTTGAGCCAGCGTTTTGCAATCCTGTGGTATTGTGGTGGCGGGGAGATTTATAAGCACCCCTTTCCTCTGCAGACTTGGGGACCAGACTTTGTTTCCTTCACATCTCAGAGCCAACCTTGAGCTGCAGCTCCAGCCAGAGCCTTCCCAGACAATGGTGAGAACTCATTTCTTCTTTACTCAGCTGGCAGATAGAGCTAAGGAAAAATTAACATGATTTATTTGAGAGTGGATTGAAATAGTTGTTAGGTTTGGTTTTTTTTTTCATGGCATTGTTCATATCCTCGTAAGGTTTAGCACGTGATGTACACGTGTAAATATTCCTGGAGTTGTAACCTGTGTCACCAGGCAATAATCATCCTTTTATTGGACCAGAATTGGTGTTTCTGGGCTGGGAGTGTTGCCAGGCTCCTTTTTATGGCTGTTCTGTTCTGTTCTGTTCTGTTCTGTTCCATTGGCCTGCCCTGCCTGAGGTCCAGAGTCCTTCCTGGCAGGAATCACCTGGAGATTCTCAGGGGAGGATCTGGGGCTCAGTGCCAGCCCTGGAGCTGCAGAGCAGAGGGGACACAGAGGGGACAGCCAGGGACATCAGCCCTGTGCCCCTGTGCTCAGGTGAGACCCCACCTGCAGAACCTCCTGCCCTGGGGTCTCCAACAGCAGCAGGAGCTGGACAGTGCAGAGGAGCCTCAGAGCTGGGCTGGGAGAGCTGGGGGTGCTCACCTGGGCAGGAGAGGGACCCAGGGAGAGCCCAGAGCCCCTGGCAGGACCTAAAGGGACTCCAGGAGAGCTGGAGAGGGACTGGGGACAAGGCATGGAGGGACAGGACACAGGGAATGGCTCCCAGTGCCAGAGGGCAGGGCTGGATACTGCAATAATATCAATTCTATTGGGATTTGGGGCAGGAATTGTTCCCTGGCAGGGTGGGCAGGGCTGGCACAGCTGTGGCTGCCCCTGGATCCCTGGCAGTGCCCAAGGCCAGGTTGGACATTGGGATTTGGGGCACCCTGGGACAGTGGGAGGGTCCCTGCCGTGGCTGGGGTGGGATTGAATGTCCCTTTCCAACCCAAACTGTTCCATCTGCCATTCCCTGAACGTTTGGAGCTGCAATATTCTCATTTCTCAAGTGCTCAGGCACTCACTGGGTGTTGTTCAGAAACTGACTTTATTTGTGGTTAATTTTTTTCAATAAAATTTTGAGATGGGGGAGGAAGTGCTCTCCCACATCTAGAATGTGAATAAATCCCGTGCTAATTGTTGGCTGTTTTCATCAACAATCTGAATCATGAAGCTTCTCCCTCAAAGCAGGAGAAACTTTTCAGTTTTGGAGGTTTTAATGGTGATGAATGGAAGAGAAGGCACAAGTCCCACTGCTCTCCCCCAGTGTGAGCTGGTGTTTTGATGTTTGAAAGTTCAGTTTCAGGTTTATGAAGTGTGGTGACATGAATGTCATGTTTCTGTGACAGCAACTTTCAGAAAGAAAATGAATCTTTCTCTTGGAAATTCCAGCTACTCCTGCCTGAAATCTAAGAGTGTAATGAAACAGTGCACTGCTAATAGGAATATTCCATATTTTTAGAGCTATTTGGTTTACTCTCCAGTTTCAAAAGGTCTGGAAGTGCATCTAAATAATTGCAGTGAAAGTTTTGATGCACCCAGTAGTTTATGACAATATTTGGCAAAGGTGTTTGGTGTTTCATGGAGAGTTCTGGGAACAAAATTTAGAACAAATTCAGGATAAAAATCCATTTATATATTGGAGATACAACAGCAACGACCTCCACTCCCAGCAGGCAGAGCTGAATCCAGGAGGAATTTTGCCTGAGATTATTCTGAGATCAGCCTTGTGAGAGCTCAGCTGGATACCAGAACTAGGACTAGAACTGGAGCAGTCAGATACTGGAATTAGGTCTGGAATTAGGACTAGGACTAGAATTAGGACTAGAATTAGGACTAGAACTGAAGCAGTCAGATACTGAATTAGGTCTGGAATTAGGACTAAGACTAGAATTAGGACTGGACTTAGGACTAGAATTAGTACTAGAACTAGAATTAGGACTAGAACTGGAGAAGTCAGACACTAGAATTAGGACTAGAATTAGGATTAGATTTAGGACTAGAACTGCAGCAGTCAGATACTAGAATTAGGACTGGAATTAGGACTAGGACTAGACCTAGGACTAGAACTGCAGCAGCCAGGCAGGTGCTGGCACCAGCTCTGCCCTGGGTATTGGCTCTGCTCTCATTTTTTTTTTTTGTTCAGAGATGATGGAGACAAAATCCAGCAAAACCCTGCAGAGCTCCTGGGGTTTATCCACAAACTCTTGTTTTTATGGAAGTGCTGATCCAAAGGGAGGCTTTGGGTGGATGGAATTTGGTGCCCATTGAGCCTTTAGGGCAGTGCCTTGGTCATGGGGAATGGTGGAATCACTGAGGACCAGCCCAGATCCACTCACACCATTCCCTCTTAATTTATTTAATTGGGAGTTAATATTTATATTGTTTATACTTTTGATTCGATAATTCAACACTTGTGACCTGCACTGCAAGATTTTTTTATTTAACTAAAATCTGCTGCTTGAAATTCTGAAGAAGGAGGAAAGAGACAATGCCCAAGAACATTCATCTTGTCTCACACCTATTACAATATCCTAAAACTTGACATTTAAAACGTTTCACCCTGTGAAATTACACACTTTAACTACACACTCGTGATTTTTAACTTCATGACTCAAATTTGGAAGCTTTCTTTAAGGCTTTTGGGTTTCAGCACCTTCTCTAAACTGCCTTGGGATGAGAATCCCAAGTGGATCAAAATCACAGCTCCAGCTCCAGCACAAAGCTGAGATTTCATTTTTATGGAGTCCCAGAGTTCTCAGGATGGGAGGATGTTCCTGGAAATGATTCTGTGTCCTTGTCACCCTGCCTGACTTTGGAGCACACTCAGCCAACCTCAGCGAGTTTAATCAGGTTTTTATTTTTTTTATTTTTTCCCCTTACAGATGTCTCACCTCCTCTGTGCCTTACTGTCCTTGCTTTCCTTTGCTGCTCTACTGGAAAGTGCCCAGTGGAAACTGCAGGAAAATGGTAAAGAAGTCTCAATTTAGTCAGATCTAAAACTTTATAATTGTATAATATTTTATATATATATATATTAAATATTATATATATTGTATTGAATTATAATTGTGGCCACTAGCACAGAATTTGTTAACTCCAGTGTCTCAGGCCAAGGCTGTATGTTTATTAGTTTGACAATAATTAATTGGAGTTAATGGAAAAATATTTAAAAGTCCTAAAATGCCTTCCAACAGCACATTTGCAATCTTTGCTTTAGCAATGGTTTTATTTCCTATTCNCTCCTGCTGTTCAAAGTCTCAGTCACAAAGTCTGGATGCAAAAACTGTGACTTAGGGAACAGCCCTAAAAAAACCAAGGGAAGAATGACTTGTGAAAAAGCAAATATATTTCTGAATATATAAAAATTTAAAAAATCGTTTATCAACTTCTCTGGTAAAGAATTTAAATGTAAATCCATTTGTAAAAATACAGGGTAGGTAATAAAAAATTCTTTTGAATAATTGATCTGAAAATTGGGCTAAATTCAGATTGTCCTCTCTTTCAATGAGTTTCCCCCATATCTTTATATTAAAAATAATATTTATTCTGGGGGATCCCTGGGAGGGATTTGATGCTGAAAACAGCAAATCTGTTTGAAAACTTTGGCTTTGAAGATTTGCTTTGCCTGTGTCCATAGGGAATTTGGGAGACTTCCAGACTTCTCAGAGCTGAGTATTTTCTGCCCATTTATATTCAATATTTGACAGGTTTTGTGAGGTTTAGGAAAATCTCTTGAGCACCCACACTACCAGGTTATGTTGTTTTTTTTTTTAAAAGCCAAGCAATTAATAGTTGTTATAAAGTTATTTATTGCAGAAGCACATCAGTCTTAAAAGAAAAAACAAAGCAAAGCAGTGGCAAAATGCACATGGATACAGCCATGGCACAGAGCACCACCTCTCCCTAATTAATGTTATTTTATAAAAACTTTCTAACTAGCTAAGGCACAAACTCAGACCACTGCTCCTTAACCTGTTAGAATTTTAGTTTTTTAGCACACCAGGCTATGTATAAACTATGTTCATGGCCTGTCTTGTTCTAACTGAAAAATGTCAGCAATATTCTTAATTCTATTATGTCTGGAGCCAGGTTCTTGGAGCCTCTAAGCAAACACCAGTGTGTTTTTTAACCTTCACTAGAATATTTATTATTTTTCAGGCATTTAAGACCTTTTACTTACTATAAACACTTAAAACTTATTCCATTTATTTCCTTATTTATTCACTCCATCTCTTCCACTCAAAGACTTTAATTCAATCCCTGCACTCTGATTTCTCTCTGTAGAAACCAGACACCCTCCTGACTTTGTGACTCCAGCAGGTTTCTGGGTGTTTCTCCTCTGTGCTGACTGGGATTCACCCAGAGCTCACAGGAGACTGGAAGGGAAGGGCTCAGCCCAAGCTTTCCCCCCTTGCTCCTGATTTTTCCTTTTGCCATTCCCAGTGTTTGTCATAGAATCCCAGTGGGACACCGAGGCCCCGGCCACCAACGTGGAGCTCACCTGTGACACCTCAGAGGAAGGAGTTTACTGGGAAAAGGACTCGGAATGGAAACAAGAAGGGAAGACTCTGAGGGCTGCAGTGAAGGAATTCCCTGATGCTGGAAACTACACCTGCCTGAGCCAGCAGAGCCACCAGGTGCTGAGCTCCCACCTCCTCCTCATTGCCAAAATCAACTCCCAGGGCCACATGGTGAGGTGGATCCTCAAAAGTTTTGAAGGTAAAGCCCCTGAAATGTTGGGTCTGTCCCTGCTCAGCTTTGTGAGGCTCTGGGAAATGTCCTTGGGAAGGGATTCTCTTCAAAAGCTTTGCTGAAAGGGGCAAATAAATCGTGGTTCCTGTGGCTCTGGGTAGAGCAGAACAGGAATTGGGTGCCATGGGATTTATTTGGGATTTTCTAGGCTGGTAGGGTGGAGGGATGGGAGGAATTGGTTTGGAAAACCAAGGCTATGTGACAGCAGCCAGGGAAGGGCTGGAGCTGGGCTGGGATGGATTTTGGGAAAGGTTCATCCCCCCCCAGAGGGTGCTGGGCACTGCCCAGGCTCCCCAGGGAATTCCAGAGCTCCAGGAGCTCCCAGGAATGCCCAGGCTGGGACCCTTGGGGTTGGACTCCATCATCCTTGTGGGTCCCTTCCAGCTCAGGAGATTCCAGGGTTCTGGGATTGGACAGAAGCTGAGCCTGACCCAGGTTTGAAGTTCTGCCTTTTGGGCCTCTCCACTCAGGACTGACCCTGGCACAAGCCTGGGATGTTTTGCATTTTCTGCATGAACTTCACTCATCTGAGCCTTGTATTTGAGTCCCTCCTGCTAGGGAATCTGTGAATTTATGAAATCTCTCTGTCTGCCTTGACTGTTTTGGCAGAGAAGAGCAAATAACTTCTGGTTTCTTTCTTTCCCTGTCTAGAGTCCAATAAGACATTTCTGAAGTGTGAGGCAAAGAACTACTCTGGAATTTTCACGTGTTCCTGGATGACAGAAAATACGAGCCCAAATGTGAAGTTCACCATCAGAAGCCTGCAAGGGTAAGAGCTTGCACTTCCCTTCAGCACCTCCCAGAGCAGCCCTTGGTGCTGCTCTGTGCAGGATTTTTGGCTTTTAGGGGCATGCAAGATGTGGGGGAGATCTCTTTTCCAAGCGTGAACATCCCCAAAACGCTTTGAGTCATTAGCGGGACAAAAGTTCACCTCACGAGGGCACGGAAATTGCTCAGAAATGAAGAAAAACCTTGAAAAAGGAATGACTCCAAGTGGGCTGGAGCAGCTTGCCCTGAGTAACTTAAGCAATAGCAAAACGTTTGGTGGAGGGCAGAGAGGAAGTGGAGCCAGGCCAGAAAGAAGCAGAGCTCCCAGTGCAGAATGGAGTGGGAGGCTGCTCCCAGTGCAGAATGGAGTGGGGAGGCTGCTCCCAGGGCAGAATGGAGTGGGAGGCTGCTCCCGGGGCAGAATGGAGTGGGAGGCTGCTCCCAGGGCAGAATGGAGTGGGAGGCTCCTCCCGGGGCAGAATGGAGTGGGAGGCTGCTCCCAGG